TCTTGACTAAAGCCCTTAGCAACCAAGCGAGCCTTATGTCTTGCTATAGAACCATCTGCATTCTTCTTGATTCTATAGACCCACTTACAACCTACAAGATTCTTATTAGGTGGTAGAGGAACCAAGTCCCAAGTGCCTTGTGCATGAAGAACCTCAATTTCCTCTTGCCTAGCAGATTGCCACTCAAAAACTGTAGAAGTAGCCTTGAAAGAACTAGGTTCAACCTGAGAGAGATCAATATGCTGTACAGAGGTAGAATAAGCCTTCCTTTTGGAAATACCATTCTTAGACCTGGTTGTCATAGGATGAAGGTTCATAGGTGAAAGAGGCAAGACCACACAAAGAGTCTCAGGTTGGAAATCAGGATCCACAGGGAGATGAGACTGTGTAGCAAAGTCTAAAACTGGAAGAGTCTGACAGGTGGCACTAGAAGGCAGTGTATGCAAAGTTGCAGTGGCTCTAGAGGTGGATGAAGGTGAAGAAAAAAGAGGCAAAACAGGGTTATGTAGAGAAATAGATGGTGGAGAAGGAGAAGGAGAAGGAGAAACAGAAACCGCAGGCACAGAGGTGTAAGGAAACATAGTTTCATCAAAGATGACATGTCGAGTCACAAAGAACCGATTGGTTTGAGGAGAAAAACAGATATATCCCTTATACTGACCTGCATAGCCCAAAAAAATGCAAGTGGAAGTTTTTGGCTGAAGTTTGTGAGTATTGTAAGGCTTGAGTAAAGGAAAACAAGCACAGCCAAAGATTCTCAAATGAGTAATGACTGGTGCAGAACCATACAATAAGAAATAAGGAGATTTAAGCTGAAGAATTTGACAAGGCATCCGATTAATCAAATAGATGGAAGTAGCACAAGCATGAAACCAAAATTTAGGAGGTAAATTGGCAGTTTGTAACAAAGTGATTGCAGTTTCTAAAATGTGCCTATGTTTTCTCTCAGCAAGACCATTTTGTTCAGGAGTATATGGACATGACAGTTGATGGACAATGCCCTTGGTAAGAAGATAATGTTTGAATTTATTACTAAGATACTCACCACCCCCATCACTTTGAAAAACTCGAAGAATAGCAGAAAACTGAGTAACTAAGAAGGCATGGAAATAGACAAAGATAGAATAAACCTCTCCTTTATTGATCATTGGAAAAATCCAAGTAAACCGAGTACATTCATCTATGAAACTAACATAATATCTGAATCCCTCAACAGATATAGTGGGAGAAGGACCCCAAACATCACTATGAATTACTTCTAAAGGTTTGACAGACTTAACAGCTGGATAAGGAAAAGGAAGTTTGGCAAGTTTGCCTTCTAAACAAGTGGTACAGACTAATTTGGAAGTGTCTGAAGTAAAAGAAATTTGGGATTGATTTAAAAGAGCAGAAGTGATTTTGTTAGAAGGATGACCGAAACGCTTGTGTCAGAGACTGGTTTTGACTTGTTGACCAAGATAGCAGAATTGATTCTTGGGGAAAGAAGATGCTTGTGGAAGACGAGGTGGTGGAATGGATGAAATGGAGAAAGGAATAGGATACAAGCCAGCTCTACATAGTCCCTTGAGAAGAACATTCCCTGTGATCTTGTCCTGAATCCAAAAACCAAATGCATCACAAATAAATCTGCAATTGTTATCTTTACATAACCTATGAACTGATAGCAAATGTTGGGACAGCTTAGGCACATGCAAAACTTGTTTTAATTGTAAAGAGCACTGTGGAACTTTCAAAATGGAAGAGCCAATACTAGAAATGCTCAAACCTGAACCCCTTGCAGTGGTAATAGTATCAGATCCTGAGAAAGGATAGTAGCCAAGCTGAGTTGAGCCAAATCAGAGGTCATATGAGTTGTTGAACTAGTATCAGCCACCCAAAATTGCTCATGAGGTGTAGAAGAAGGAAAGTTTGCATGCCTGGCACTAAGATTGGTGGAAGGAGGTTTGCCTTGATAAGAGAAGTTGCCTCTATGATAACATTGAATAGCAGAATGCCCAAATTTCCAACAAATCTGACATTGGACTGAAGAGGTATGAGTAGAAGGTTGATTGTGTCGTTGATAACAATCAACAGCTACATGACCTTTCTTGCTACAGATTTGACAAGTAGGAATGTCAGTGCCAGGACCAAGAATGCCAGGACTAGAAGTGGGTTGAACTTGATAAGGGCGTGGACCAGATTGGTAAGAACCACGACCTCGACCACGACCCTTAAAATGAGAGCCTCGATTGCTAGAATAACCACCATTGTTGAACATTGTATTGGGAGCATTGAAACCACCAGTGGAACCATGGAAACTAGCATGATTACCATTAAAAACCCCATTGAAGCCAGAGGAAAATTGAGAAGATGGAGCAGACTTAGAGCTAGAAGGATACCCTTGAGGTTGAGAAGTAGAATTACCTTAATCAAGAACAAGAGCCTTGCCTTGAAATGTCTGATTTTGAGCCATCATTGCAGAGACAAATGGAGAAGCAGAATAAGTCTGCTCAAGAGTGGCTTCTTCAGCAAGCAATTGAGACCGAAAATCTTTAAGAGATAAAACATTGTCTCTGCCTCGAACCATACACCTAAATGTGTTGTAGTCAGAAGGAAGACCATTGAGAGCCAAGATGACAATATCATCATCTTCAAAATAAACCCCTGCTGCAGAAAGATGGTCTCGAGCATCTTTGATCCTTTGCAGATATGCAGACACAGGTTCTGAACCCTTCTTGATAGTCTGAAGCTCACTTTTCATCTGAAAAATTCGTGCTTTGGTAACTGTAGAAAATCGATCCTTTAGTTGAACCCACATATCATGAGAACTGACACATCCAATGACATAGGAAATCGCAGTAGAAGAGAGAGTAGCAATAAGCAACTGCATCAATGCTCAATCATGCATTTTCCAAACCTGATAGTCATCAGTTTCACCACCCTCAAGATCAGAGTTCGCATCAAATCAACTAGGACACTTCCTCGCGCCATCAACAAATCCCAAAATGCCATGACTCTCAAGAAGAATTTGCATCTGAAAGTGCCATGTGAGATAATTAGTATCATCAAGCTTGACTGTCACAGCAGTAGAAACCGTAGGAAGAAGAGAAGTAATAGGAGATTGAACAATCCGGAGTTGAGAAGTAGTCACCATTTGGAGAAGGCAAGAAGTAAAAGAGGAGAATCGAAGATTAAGAAGGAAGAAACTTGCAGAAAATTGAGGAGTTGAAGAAGAATTTCAGTAGTAAAAGAGGAGAATCGAAGATTGAGAAGGAAGAAACTTGCAGAAAATCGAGGAGTTGAAGAAGAATTTCAGTGAGACAATATATCAAACAGATAATAGGCAAAACGAAGAACACGAAAGAATTGTATGGATTAGAAGATAACGAAGCCAGAAACAAAAACAGAAACCAGAGAGTGCGGAAGCAGAAGATCACAAGATCACAAGATCAAGAATCCATGGCGAATGATACCATATCAAGATAGCAGAATTACA